TGCAAGGCAAAGTGGCAGATTATACTCTTCTGTCTTCTGTACAATTTTTGTTCGGGAGTCTGGAAGTCGTCAAGTCTGCGTGCAAGACGATTCGTAATGACTCTCGAAAACAGCACGTAGACGCGGCTCAGAAGGAAGCCGGTCTGTAGTTTTTCAAGAGACCGTTGAAGAACAAGACCACCTGTTCTTCAAGAAAGGCGACAAGGCACAAGGCACTTCTACTCCACGCCTCCGGAGTAGTGCCACCATGGAGGACGGAATTAAAGAGCTTCTGAAGGACTTCAATTACCGGTTTTCCACCCGTTTTCAAAAGCTCCGCTGTAAATCCATCCTCAACTGGGGCTCTGCCGTTTTTAAGGTGCTGGAGAGTCATTCTAATTTCGCTCAGACTGACGTCCGGGATATCTTCAGAATAGTGTCGGATAAGACTCGCTCTTGGACAGTTACTCACACTTGCGTGTGGCTCCAACGATGACGTGTACAGCTGCCCATAGAACCTCTCAATCTCACTCAAAGTCTCAGGTGTCCCGGAAACGATGCTGCCACACTCGGTCTTCAGCTTTGACAGTTGGCTCTTTCTGACACACAGATCTCTGGCAAAGACTTTGGAGCCTTGGTTCCGCTCGATCGCTTCTTCAATACAAGCTGTATTGAAGTTGCGTAAGTCCCGCTGCATGCATTTGGAGATCTGTCTGTTCAGATGCCTGTATGCTGTCAAGTCTGTTGAAGAATGTAGCTTCATCTCCCGTCTAATAGCCATGAGATTGAGAGTATGATCGGAGAGTTTTTGTGTTCTTCTGTGGCGGGTCTTGCAGAACTTAGCTCCGACCGCATGGACAGTTTCCACGAGCTTGTCATTCATATCGTCCACTTCATTGCAGTATTCTAGGCACTGAAAATGGTTTTGTAACTCGCGCTGAAAGCTTTTGGGACTCTGGAACAGAGCTCGAGGGGGACGGAGCGTTGACTTCATTAGACGAGACCTCTCGAACTTAACGTTTAGGTTCAGTGTGCCTCTAACCATTCGGTGATCGCTACCAGTTTTCACCCTCGCGATCACGGAGACATCACTGAACAGTTGTCGTCTGGTCGTCATAATGAAGTCAATCTCATTTTTTCTGGAACCGTCGGGGCTCGACCAGGTCCACTTCCTGTGGGGCCGCTTCTGGAAGAAAGAGTTCATCATAAAGATTCCCTCTTTCTCCATGAAGTGGGCCAGCTGCTGGCCTCTTGGGTTCCGTTGCCCTATTCCATATTTCCCTACTTTCAGCTCACCGTTCTCTCTTGTGCCTAGTTTTGCATTGAAGTCTCCCATTAACACCGTATAGTGGGTCTTGGAGGAATGCATGGCTCTAGAGATATCCTCATACATTTACTCCACCTCCTCATCGGGATGTGCCGATGTTGGTGCGTAAACCTGTATGACCTTCAGCGAATACCGTTTGGTGATTCTGAGTATAAGATACGCCACCCTCGCCGACACACTCTCGATCTTTACAACGTTCTTAACGACAGACTTGTGGACGATAAATCCACCAACTCCTTTGGGCAGATGGTCGTCCTCTCGGTGATAGAGCAAGTTGCGGATTCGAGGATTACCGTGTCCGCCTTCTCTCTTCGGACCTCGGATAATCCTATAATATGCCAACGTAACTTGTCTATCTCTTCTTCGAGCTCCACGATCTTCTCGTCAGTCCTCAGGGTGCGTGCGTTGTATGTTGCCAGGTCGAGTCGTCTTAGGTGGCAACCGAACCTCCACCGGAGATTCTTAGCACCCCCTGCCCCGGCGTTACCATGGTCGCCACCGTAGCCAGGAATAGCGTGACCACCGGTGACTGGGGGCCGCGTCTTTATTCTTCGTTTTTTTTTACCTCGTACCTCGGAAATGTTCGTAATAAACGATGCCCTACCAATCCCACCATACACACCGTATCACCTTAATGCGTGTTAATCCGGGTTTTACTACAGTCTGTGAAGCTTGACTACCCTTTGACTTTGACCATGATCTTTTTCGCACATTCTTGTCGTAGGTGATCCACTTTTCAGAACCAGTGATCAATCTTTTCAAAAATGGTTCGGTTTCATTACGTTTCAATAGAGAATCGCAATTTAGTACGCGATTCATTAGGTTTCTTTCAGTGAGCTTGTGGTACCCAAATATCGCGCTTTTTTGTATAGCCAGACTTTTTCAATTGGTCAAAACTGTTTTGTGGTCAATCCTCAATTCCTGGCCTATGTGATAACTACTAATATGCCGATTTTGCTCCACTTTTTCAAAAATCCATCGACTTTATCCGTATGAGGAGTTGCTGCATCTTTGACATCAAAATTCCCGGACTGAAAACGCTTGAACCAACTTTGTGATACTCTTACTGACACTGCATTAGGTCCATAAACGTCACAAATTTACAAACAAGGGAAAAGTGCTTGAGTCGCACTTTTCCCTTGTTTGTAATAAAACTTCAGAATGTATCCAATTTCTTCGTTAGATTCACTCATTTTGGCGGACAGAAAAACAATTGAAAAATGGCGGTAAAGTGTTTTTTGCTTTTTATTTTTCTTTTTCTTAGTGTTCTATGTGTTTTGATATTAAAACCAAAACCAAAAAATTTTATTATGTAGTCCATGCCATAGAGACAAAGTCAGGGAAAAGAATTCCTCGGGTTTTGTTTGTATAAAAGTGGTTGTGCTGTTTGTATCTGGCTGGTTTTAATATCAAAACACATAGAACACTAAGAAAAAGAAAAATAAAAAGCAAAAAACACTTTACCGCCATTTTTCAATTGTTTTTCTGTCCGCCAAAATGAGTGAATCTAACGAAGAAATTGGATACATTCTGAAGTTTTATTACAAACAAGGGAAAAGTGCGACTCAAGCACTTTTCCCTTGTTTGTAAATTTGTGACGTTTATGGACCTAATGCAGTGTCAGTAAGAGTATCACAAAGTTGGTTCAAGCGTTTTCAGTCCGGGAATTTTGATGTCAAAGATGCAGCAACTCCTCATACGGATAAAGTCGATGGATTTTTGAAAAAGTGGAGCAAAATCGGCATATTAGTAGTTATCACATAGGCCAGGAATTGAGGATTGACCACAAAACAGTTTTGACCAATTGAAAAAGTCTGGCTATACAAAAAAGCGCGATATTTGGGTACCACAAGCTCACTGAAAGAAACCTAATGAATCGCGTACTAAATTGCGATTCTCTATTGAAACGTAATGAAACCGAACCATTTTTGAAAAGATTGATCACTGGTTCTGAAAAGTGGATCACCTACGACAAGAATGTGCGAAAAAGATCATGGTCAAAGTCAAAGGGTAGTCAAGCTTCACAGACTGTAGTAAAACCCGGATTAACACGCATTAAGGTGATACGGTGTGTATGGTGGGATTGGTAGGGCATCGTTTATTACGAACATTTCCGAGGTACGAGGTAAAAAAAAACGAAGAATAAAGACGCGGCCCCCAGTCACCGGTGGTCACGCTATTCCTGGCTACGGTGGCGACCATGGTAACGCCGGGGCAGGGGGTGCTAAGAATCTCCGGTGGAGGTTCGGTTGCCACCTAAGACGACTCGACCTGGCAACATACAACGCACGCACCCTGAGGACTGACGAGAAGATCGTGGAGCTCGAAGAAGAGATAGACAAGTTACGTTGGCATATTATAGGATTATCCGAGGTCCGAAGAGAGAAGGCGGACACGGTAATCCTCGAATCCGCAACTTGCTCTATCACCGAGAGGACGACCATCTGCCCAAAGGAGTTGGTGGATTTATCGTCCACAAGTCTGTCGTTAAGAACGTTGTAAAGATCGAGAGTGTGTCGGCGAGGGTGGCGTATCTTATACTCAGAATCACCAAACGGTATTCGCTGAAGGTCATACAGGTTTACGCACCAACATCGGCACATCCCGATGAGGAGGTGGAGTAAATGTATGAGGATATCTCTAGAGCCATGCATTCCTCCAAGACCCACTATACGGTGTTAATGGGAGACTTCAATGCAAAACTAGGCACAAGAGAGAACGGTGAGCTGAAAGTAGGGAAATATGGAATAGGGCAACGGAACCCAAGAGGCCAGCAGCTGGCCCACTTCATGGAGAAAGAGGGAATCTTTATGATGAACTCTTTCTTCCAGAAGCGGCCCCACAGGAAGTGGACCTGGTCGAGCCCCGACGGTTCCAGAAAAAATGAGATTGACTTCATTATGACGACCAGACGACAACTGTTCAGTGATGTCTCCGTGATCGCGAGGGTGAAAACTGGTAGCGATCACCGAATGGTTAGAGGCACACTGAACCTAAACGTTAAGTTCGAGAGGTCTCGTCTAATGAAGTCAACGCTCCGTCCCCCTCGAGCTCTGTTCCAGAGTCCCAAAAGCTTTCAGCGCGAGTTACAAAACCATTTTCAGTGCCTAGAATACTGCAATGAAGTGGACGATATGAATGACAAGCTCGTGGAAACTGTCCATGCGGTCGGAGCTAAGTTCTGCAAGACCCGCCACAGAAGAACACAAAAACTCTCCGATCATACTCTCAATCTCATGGCTATTAGACGGGAGATGAAGCTACATTCTTCAAACAAGTTTAATATGTCATCCAATAGAAAGTTACAACTTCAGCCCATGGTCATCTGCAGCCAAAACCCCTAATACTGAAGAAAACTAGATTGGTAATCTTTTTTTTTTGCGCTCACCTTAGGGTTCATAGCACCGACCTACTGTGCCACGTACTTTGAATTCGAATCTAGCCAAAGACAAAATTTGTGCAAAAACATTTTTTTTAATTGTTAGTTTTTGAATCTGATTGTGTTGTTAAATGTTCTCGTGTTTTGACACTGCGTTTTATGATTTCTTAAACCTTTTGGCCAAGGACTTCTGGCACTATGATATTGCCTGCGCAGTGGGTAGACGCGTCTGGGTGGTGGCCAGGAGTACATCATCAATTATCTTTTTTTCTATATTAGTAACAGTTAAATATAATTCGAGAAAAACTCAGATTTGGTTCTATCTTTTATTTGTCACTTTACTTCATTTTGTACAACATTAATACATTTCACGGAGAAATCAAATATACAAAAAAGTTTCCTCACCAACAGTCATTGGTAATACATAACGCTTTTGATAAATTTTCAATTACTATGCATGCATGTACCTACTTTTAAATACTTACACAGATAAAATATATTTTATTTTTTGTTTATATAGTCTACTGAATGTTTTTCATAGAGTATTTCAAACTATTTACACTAACATCGAATTTTACTAATCTTATAATATTAAATATTACAATCCTCACTATAGTCAATTAAAAAACCTAATTAAGTACATTTTAAAATTATATTGTTGAAATGCATTAAAACAATCAAGACGGCACTTGAACGAAAAAGTTTTTTTCTTCTTTTTAACGCAACAAAGAATGACAACAATACCACTAAAGGAAAAATCATCTATCTAGATCTAGTACATATATTTCGCTTTTTTTTTAATTGTCGACTTGTATATCGACTTTACTTTAGACCTTTAGAAATAAGAATATTAAATACTAATTTAAATATTGATTATAAATAAATAGCTTATGAGTATTCTTTGTTACTCTCAGTTTCTCGCATACTGTATATAATACTGTAAGTATAAAATCATATAGTAGGTGGTAGAACAGCTTGTTGTACGGTAGTTTTTTTTTAATGTTTTATAATGTCGTATATACTGACCCTTTTTTACTGTTAACGGGGCACTCTGTTAGTCCTCAGGGGTGATAATTCATCTACACCATATTATTTATTGTGTCTACACTCTGATTTTGAATCGAGTAAAGATGTAGATAGATATCTAAGGGTCATAACATCCACTTACCATCAGGTAGAATGTGTGCTCGTTTGTTAGGCCGTAGATTTTAACAAAATTCTGTCGAAGTATTAATAGGTTTCATCTGCCATACAGTAAATATTACAAGCATGAAGGGAACAACATTCACAAGAAGAGATTAATTTGTTCTTTTCGGCCTTAATAACGATATTGATTAATCAAACACTTGCAATACTGACATTTGTCAGCATTGCAAGTGTTTTATTAATTTCAAAGTATTATTTTACCATAATTCACTTACAAATAATTCCAATACTACGAAAAACACTTATTAGGATAAAATAATAATATTAAATGTCTATACATACATCGAACTTTGGTTCTATAACAATTATTTACAAAATAATGATATATTATGCGCGGCAAAAGCCGAAACAAACAAAAAATATTATTTACAAAAAATGCAAATACTTTGTGATAAATGATTTGGTTTATTTAATAAAATAAATAATAATATAAAATACAACTATTACTAAAATTCATGTGTCGTTGATATTTTTGTTAATTTCGACTTCATGACTTGTTACTTGCATCTATTTTGATTTCAAATTCGGAACAATGTAAAAAAATCTATAATACACTACTGGTCGAATATAATGTTGGTACAATGCTTACATTCTAATTTTTGTGTAGCTACCTAGTTTAACGTTTTATGGATATTAAATATAATGTTAAAGTGGGACAAGTTCTGATTATTTCGTTATTCAATATTTGTCTAAATTAATAATCTCCTGAAATCGACATTAATATAATGAGAGCCATTTTTCATTTCTACAAATGTTTCATTCTGTTCTTAATACACCACAGGTTATTTTGCCCAATATCGAGTTTCATCTTTAGATGAAAAAAATCTCACATTTTTATTCTCTCTTTGGCATTTCAAGTACACATTACTTGCAAAATGACAATCTCATAATAAATTCATTGCTTTATCAATATTTACAACTTATCGATTATTCCATATTTTTATATAACACGAATAAAGGCGTTTTGATTTATACCAGAACATTCCTTTTATTCGGACTAAAAATTTTCACGTTTTTAATTGTGAGTTTATTTCCAAAAGCATTCTCTTCAACCATTCAATGCATCGAAACGTATCTTTAGAGAAAGATACGATGAGAACACGTATCGATATCCCAACGGAGTTCCTAAGACCAAACTCCTCAGAAGTAAAATTCGTTATTTGATGAACGGAAATTCACTGTCACTTTCGTCCCCGGAGCCGTCGTAGCTTGACGGTGGGGTATCGAGTTGTGGAAGGCCCAGGTCCAAGTATTCCTGATTTGCGGTCACGGTTAATATTTTGTCCAAATCTTCGACGAGCTCCGTGAAGGACGGTCTATCGCCAGGGGAGAAGGACCAACATTCGCGCATCAGCATATAACTAGAAAGATTTTTTTTAAAATTAAATATTAGTCTGCGAAGTTATTGTCAGCATAATGGTCATATTAAATCACTTCGTGTTTTTGACTTATTTTAATACCTTCTATATTCTCAGGCTCAGACTTCATACATCAAGTCTTGTATATAATGATTACACTCAATAATTAAGCCGATGTTGCAATAAAAGTGTTTTGTTTTTTGTTTGTCCCCAAGTCTCTGTAACATCATTCTAGCTTACATCCGATTTGTCATCACACACACAAAAACTGCGTTTGCCAACTCGCTGGCCAAGCGTGGCAACTACGGTATATCTTCCCTATGAGGCAATCTCTGGGGGAGGTATATGTTCAGCAATGGACTTTAATAGGCTGTAATGGATGGGTGTATAGAAGATAATCTACCAGGAGCACATGACACACTGAGAGGTGAAATTTTCAAATCAACAGTAACATTACAACTATGGCAAATATCCCCCTGTGAGGCAATCTCTGGGGGAGGTCTATGTTCAGCAGTGGACTTTAATAGGCTGTATGGTATTCTTAAATTACATACTGCATTAATTGGTGCAGTTTGTTTTTCATCAAAGATAACAAGTAAAACCTGTTTATAATTTAATAACAATATACTAACATTTCAAGGCTGCAGCACGGCGGTTTCTCCATCCGATGTCCAGCGCTTAAGTGCTGGTACATATATTGCCCTGGTACCGTCGGGTACGGTGTCCCGCCGAGGGTCATAATTTCCCACAAGAGAACCCCAAACGACCAGCTGTGAAGAATTTTAATAATAAATCTATGTTGTAGTACAAATTACTAATGAAATAGTGATGATTACTGTAAAGCTTAGAGAATTTCTTTTTCCAGGTTTTTAATGTCTTGTTTCAAACCTAACGAAAGAGGAAATAGCAATTGACGGTTATTTTTTTGGTAGAGTTTAGAGTTTAATTTATTTTATAATATTACTACCATAGAATTATTACGCATAGAATACTAGTACGCGCACCGAAAGTGAAGCAAGTAAAACTAACGCGAAACCGCGTTAGTTGACTCAGCGACGCGTCAGTGCGCAACGTCACGACTTACGGAGAAGAGCTCGCGAAGAATTGTAAAAATTACCGTTTGTGTTGTAAAATATTGTCACAACAGTGATGATAAACATAAGAGAAGTGATGGTATTACATTTCACCTTTAAGTTTATACATTTAATTCATTATAAGTACGTAAAACTAAAAAAATACTTACCTAAGCTTTCATAATACAAATGTTGCTAGTTGTGGGGAAAAATTCACAATTTTCTTTTAAAAATATTTATTTTCTATTTATGTTTAAAACGTTTAATCGCAACGCTCTGTGTAAAAATCAAACGTTTATATATAGATACCTACTTATCTAAGTGTTAACATTATAATAACAATGGGTACCTATTTAAAATTAATACGGAGTGATCAGCTAATCGCGATTCGTCGACGCCATTTTAACGCAACTATTTTATTTTAATTGCTTTTTTTATTGACCAAGGTTACGTTTTAGAGTATAGAATAAAACTTTTTTATTTACAACATCATGAGATTATTAATCAGAACGCCTTTACTAACCAGATGTCACTTTACACCCAAACATTAACTAGATGTTACATTAGACCCAAACACTATTTTAAAACTATTTTAACCTACTCCCAAAAAGAAAGGTTATCAATATGTATGTACACTGATTTCTAAGCTTGATCAATTCGTATATACATGCTGAAATTTTAGTGGTTGTTGTCACGCAGCCAAATTATACTGTCTCGATAGTAGAGTCAATTTATTAAATTAAAAAAAATATTACAATTAAAAAAGGCAGATTTACAATAGTAATACCTCACAAGCTATTCGGGCGTCCAAACTAGTTTCTGTCGTATCACTACGCTTAAGAGTTCATGTTATGAACATTTATTAGTGGCCCTTCACTGTGTAGGAAGCGCGCGGTAGCACGTGCGATAGACGTAACACAACATTACATCCAGCGAATTGTTTTTCAGACTTTATTATAGTAATTCGGTATAAGCTAGCCTGCACACCCGACCTACTTGCGAGATATTGCTATTGGTTTGAGATCGCATTCGAGTTTTGTTTTTCTCGATTGTAAATCTGCCATTTTTACATCCTAATAATTTTATTTTAATAAATCTATTGTACTACTAAGACAAAATCATTTTACTTCGGGAAAACAACCATTAAAATTTCATCGTGTCTATTGGATCAATCTGTGTGTATATCCTTTCAAATAAAAAAATCTAAATCGGTTTAGAAATTGTAGAATTCTGAGGTAAAAAACATTAAAAATACACCGAATTGATAACCTCCTCCCTTTTTGAAGTCAGTTAAAATTAAACATTACACGATGTGCTTATTGCATTCGAGCAAATTAATTGTGTTTAATAATATTCTTAAATTTTATTATGTCTGCATTTTTTACCATTAATATATGTATAATAAAGTTATATTAGTACCATCATTATCGTGTTTATTTTATTCCATTTTATATTCTCATAAAATACATCTTCGTACGTAATACGTAATCTTTATTATATCGATTTTTTTAAAATTGATCAAAAAATAGTGATTTGCACAATTTGATTGCAAACGCCAGAAACTGGTATTACTGAATGGCGTGTATGTGTGCGTGTGACGAGCGTAGGCACATTCGACTCGCGCCCACTAACATTATGATCTTGCATCATTTTAACGCTCGTGTTTTGTACTGGACTACGCTTCTATGCGTAATAATTCTATGATTACTACAATTTTTATGCGCTAGAACCACGCCGCAGCTATATTATGATTGTAGCACGAAAGGGTCGGTTCAACCGGGATGGGACTACGTTCTCATAGAATACCAGCGTAAAATAGTAGCTTAATGCTGCTGTGTTTCGTGTGGTGAGTCTAGAGAATCGGTGACACTTTTTACTGGAAACGAGACATTCCATCTTAGTCACCAGGGGTGACAACGCATCTGCAAATTAATTCTAAATTGAGGATAAATGTAGATGTCTATGGGCCACAGCATTCACTTACCATCAGGTGAACTGTGTACTCGTTTGTCATCCTATTCTAGAAAAAAAAATGAAATTTAATAGTGATCATTACTGAAAAGTTCAGCGAAAGTTTTCTTTAAGGTTTTTTTTATATTTCGTTTCTATAAACTAACGAAAGAGGAAATAGCAATTGACAGTTGTTTGTGATATTTTACGACTTCGCCCGCGTGGAATTCATTGCGATATGATTTCATGGGTATTAATTTTTTTTTGCGCAGAACTCCTTTATTCAGAATTCTTTTCCTAAAATAAAAGAAGCCTAAGTTACTCCTTATAACATCAGCTATCTGCCAGTGAAAGTCCCATCCAATTCGGTTTACAGGTTTTTGCGTGACGCGTGTTCAGACAGACGTCGTGTTAGAGATTTACTATAGTAAATATAGATTTTATAATAGTACTAAACTAAAAAAAATATTGTGAATGCCGAGGTTACTTTTATAATTAGCGCGTATGTCGTGTCATTTGTTATTGTGTAAGTGATGTTTGAAACACAGGTACTACTCAACCTAGTTCAGGCTGGTAGCTAATATTATAAACTTGACTTTGCTATTTATTTTTTGTAGATTCTTCATTATTAAGCTACACATAGTTTTAATTTTATCATAGTATGTTAGACTTATTGTTACTTTATTTAATTGTAATTATATTTGTTCCTGTATGTAAACATGTGTAATTGGAAATGAAATAAATATTTATTATTATTATTATTTATCATTATTATTTGCTTTAATAATTATATTATGTCCATTAGGTAAAAAATCCAACTTACACGTCAGTCTGCGTTGTGAAAACCTTGTGGTACAAAGACTCAGGCGCCATCCACCGAACAGGCAGGCGACCTTCGGTTTTCTTTCTGTAGTAGTCATTGCTGTGGACGTCCTTCGCCAAACCGAAGTCCGCGATCTTGAGAACGCAGTCGTCGGAAACCAGGACATTACGCGCCGCTAAATCTCTATGGATGCACTGGAAAAGACACATGGACTTATCAAAATCCCATCCATCAAATTCTAGTTTCTAAGGTTCTAAGGGGACGATAAAAACAAGTGGTAAAATTAAATATTTTGTACAACCGACTTCAATATAAATTATTAAAGATAATTCAAGAACTACTCATGGTCATACATGAGAAGTACCAGCTTTTAAATAAAAAAAGAATCATCAAAATCGGTTCACGTAGAAAAAAGTTATGAGGTAACACATATAGAGGTTACATTTGAGGTTTACCTCTGCGTTTCGCTTGGTGAGTGCAGGTGGCCGGAGGCCCTTTTTACTGGAAATGAGGCATTCCATCTTAGTCCTCACGGGTGACAACGTATCTGCATTTTGATTCGCAAACGAGGATAGATGTAGATGTCTATGGGCCGCAGCAACCACTTACCATCAGGTGGACTATGTGCTCGTTTGTCACCCTAATCCTATAAAAAAAAAATAGAATAAAAAAATACAGGTGAATTGAGTACCTTCTCTTTGAAGTTGGTTAATAAAATACCTATTATCCTTATCATTTAAAATAATAAGTTAGAAATTAAGTAAGCAGAAGAATGTTTGAAAAATCTAAATCGTTCTTACCCGCCTAGAAGCTAAATATTCCATTCCTCTTGCGACTTGATAAGAGAACGACACCAAATCCTTTTGGGTGAGGGTCTTCTTTTCTTTTAAATCCTCTGTTGGAGATTCGTATCTGAAATGCATTATTTCTTGTGCTTAGTGATTTTTGGTCAGTGGTTTCTAAGGAATAAGCAACTTATATATAACACATAGCTATAACACAGCCGTTGATAGGTTTCTAACTACCTGTTTCCTGGACGATGATTTCTAAGAAACTCTCTCAAATTTCCATTTGGAGCGTATTCCACAATGACGTATAATGGTCCATCCTGCGTACAGCATCCCAGTAAGTTTATTATATTCACATGCTTGCCAATCATCTTCATCATCTCCATCTCCGATACTAATGCCATCATTTCTGCGTCTGTGTGACCCTCTGTAACCATCATAACAATTATAGAAAACACATGCGTGCAGAAAGCTGTGAGGAAGCAACAATATTTGTTACAAACAACTTTTATAAGGTATAAAGTTACCTACACATCAATATTCTTATTAGCATCACGAAAGTTCTATTTTTTTGTTTTTTTTTTATAGGATAGTGTGACAAACGAGCACACAGTCCACCTGATGGTAAGTGGTTGCGGTGACCCATAGACATTCATCCTCAATAAAGAATCAAAATGCAGATGCGAGATTTTCCAGTAAAATAGGTCTCTGGTCACTACACTCACCATACGAAACACAGCAGTGTCAAGCTGCCATTTTACGCTGCTATTCTGTGAGAGCGTGATCCTTCCCCGGACGAGCTGACCCATTCGTGCTACAACTATACTACGGATTTGGGGAATTGAACGCTTGTAACTCAGCTCCTATACTTAAGTAGTGATCTTAACATGTGGAATAGGTTTGTATATAAAGAGGATGCGAACATCATTACAAACTTAGTTTTTTTTTCTTTGGTTATAGACTCGTGCGGGTTATACTTTTGCCAGTGTCAAGTAATAAGAAATTATTTTTTATAAAGTTTTTGTTTCAAAAAGTTCTCAATATTCCGATGTACACAATGTAAAACTATTGGGAGACTAGCTGTGCCCGCGGCGTAGCTCGCGAATATAGGTTTTACTTAAAGAATTTGACGTTTAGGGTAAGAGAATATTAACCGATTTATATCATTACTCTATGAATAAGTGGTAACAAAATAAATCGATATTCTCAAAGTTCTAAGTCGTTTATGATAGAGCTTCTGTGTAAACGACGATAGAAGTAGACTTAGCCGGGGCGTACAGAAAAAGGTTACGGGGACTACTAACGCGAGAAAAAGCAATATAGAGCTGGCTATGTGCAAAACACGCGTAAAGTTTGACCTTGCGCTTTATTTACGATCGTCGCATAACACACGCTGAGTGGGAAACACACTTAAAATAGGGATGTCAGATGATCATCGATGTTAAAAATTAAAACTTCGATGTTTTAACATCGATGTTGACATATGTCAAACATCGAAACATCGACGTCAATGAACCCATAATCGATAATTGGGAACTTGCAAACAATGCGAACTCGCGAAATCAATATCAACTAAATCTTGCATCTGCTCTGAAGATTAAAAATTTTGAATAATTCAGAATTTCTGAACGCATCGTTAATCTAAAAAAATGTCAGTATGGTGAGTCAAACTTAATTGTCAAGTGTCTCCTGTAATGTCAAAATGGTCACTGCTTTCGCTTTATTTTGTAGTGTCGTTGTCGGTTGTCGCATAATAACTATTCTACGTAAATTGATATTCAAGTTAATTGTTACTTTTCCCTTGCTGTGTATACCCACATAATTTTAAAACTGTGTAACTATCTACACATATACAAAAACCATCGATAATGGTCAACATCGATGTTTTGAGTGGCCTAAACATCGAACATCGATGTTGAGCTAGCGATGCCAACATCGATGTTATTATCCCTATCTTAAAACTGAAGCCTGAGCCGTGGTAGCTCAGATGGTTAGCGCTCGCTGTAAGCTTCACAGTACTCGAGCAACCCGGGTTCGATCCCCGCCGGCACCAATGAAATTGTCAATTGCAATTTTAAGTGCTGATTTACTACGTGCTCGGCGGTGAAGGAAAAAATCGTGAGGAAACCTGCATGTTTGAGAAATAAAAAATAATATTTCGATGACATGTGAAGTTCGCCAACACGTATTGGGGCAGCGCGGTGGACATTTCCTTGCCCTAAAACCCTCTCAGAAATGAGAGGAGGCCTGTGCCCAGCAGTGGGACGTAAATAGGCTGCAACTTTACTTTACTTAAAACTGAAAAAAAAGTTATTTGGTATTAGAGTGATTCTGGCTATAAAACAATATCACCATCACGACATTTATTGCAATTTTGCTACTTTTTGTTTTAGTCGAGTTTTGTTGAATAATTAATTAAATATTTCAATACCTCTGTATATATACCTTACAGGCCTACAGCTTCGTCAGGCTCATGGACATAAATTATTACAGTGAGTCTCAATACGATTCACCTGCGAAAAATCTTAACACCGCAATTCAGAAAAGGTTGTAATTTGTACAACGCCATCTATTACGTTCTTTGTGAGAAAACATCCTTTTTTAATTTAAGGAAAACATATTTTTACTGTGTTTTAAGTACTATAATAGAACGATACGAAATATATTATAATAGAACGTTTTTTTTACACACGAATCTTTTTATTACTATTTTTGGGATTTTGTGGCGCCATTAAACAAATTCGAACCTACATTTCAAAATAATAATCATGACTTTCGATAGAATTAACCAATTTCAATAAAACAAAGATTAAATGAACTTGATAATACGCTTTATGATTTTCTTAAGGATTTCATTGAAAAAAAAAAGATGTTTACTCAAAACGTCATGCGTCCATAAACAAACAGACAGACCGTCAGATAGTACAATTCTAAAAATTATAAAAATGTACTTATTTAATGATTTACAGTCCCAATAATGATTTTAGTCGCAAATTAATATACTATACAATATTCAGAAACAGACATAACATGTTATTACCATTTTTATTATATGTATAGATTTAAGAGAGATGGCGCTGTTAACATCAATTCTAAAAATAAGAGATTAATTCACACGATTGATACAATAAAAAACATAAAAGAACTTATAAATCAGTGCCTGCATAGTAAGCAAAAAAGAAAGTTTGATCCTCGCCGAAAAATGAAATTGTTAATAGCTCTTAAAATTTGATTTACCACATAGAGTACTCGGCGGTAAAAAAATAAAAAATAAATGAGATTGTCAACACGCAGTAGGGCAGCGTGTCATTAATATAAAGGTTAGAAGCAAATATGAAACTCAACTACAGGAATAAATTTTAACCTGCCTTTTTGTATCACATTTATGCCACACCACCATCTATCGAAGAAATGGGTTAACTATTGTGCTTCAGATTTAGTTAATAAGGTTAATATATTTTTGTATAATATATTTAATACGTTCTTTAATACTTTTGTTTACTGCGTTTTAGATATACATAATTATATCATTATTTTACATAATTTAACTATGATTTATGATATGATATTAGTTTAAAATGCACTTGATGACTCAAACAAAGCCACCGTTGAGCAAATTCGTACCTATACTTCCCTACCCATACTTCAGAATATTTATCATAACTTTTGATGGAATGAACTGATTTTAATGAAATAAAGACTAAATGTAACCCGAAGATACACTTTATAATTTCCTTAACAATTCTTATGATATAAATTAGTACTTTATACGTGATACGTTAACAAACAAACAGACAGACAGACAGACAGACAGACAGAAAATTCTAAAAATGGTAGAAATGTATTTAATTACTTATTTTTAGTACCCCTCAATCACTTTTATTACAAAAATATAAAATGTACAGACATCTGCTATTTACAGTTTTATTATATGTATAGATTTTGACGACGACGTAATCCAGCGGAAAGACGATGATGACCGCATCCCAGGCGTGTTTAATGCGCCTAAGCTAACAATACAATAACTTGAGATTTTTGTCAAGCACTTGGTGTCGGAGCACTTGTTTCGTCGTTTACACTACATTACATTAGGATCATAATCCACTCAATCCATTCTTTAAACGATAAAACAGGAGCAACGATCCGCTGGCTCTTTAAGTATTGTTCATCATCATCATTCATCATTACAGCCTTTCATAAGTCCACTGCTGAACATAGGCCTCCCCCAAGGAATGCCACAAAGCACGGTCCTGAGCCACCTGCATCCATCGACTTCCTGCATGTCTTACCAGGTCGTCACTCCATCTCGTGGGGGGTCGCCCTACACTTCGCCTACCGGTACGAGGCTGCCACTCAAGAACCTTTCTTCCCCATCGGTTGTCGGTTCTTCGAGCTATATGGCCGGCCCACTGCCACTTCAGCTTAATAATCCGTTGGGCTATGTCGATTACTGTGGTACTACTGCGGATATCCTCATTCCTAAGTTTAACACGCATAGAAACTCCGAGCATAGCTCTCTCCATAGCTCGCTGAGCGACCTTGAGCTTCCTCATACGGCCAGTAGTGAAGGACCACGTCTCAGTTCCGTAAGTCATCACTGGCAACACGCACTGGTTGTACAATTTCGTTTTAAGGTTTTGAGGTATGTCTGACGAGAAGATGTGTCGTAGCTTCCCGAACGCTGCCCAGCCGAGTTGAATCCGTCGATCGACCTCTCGGTCGAAGTTGGACTTACCTAGTCGGACTATTTGTCCCAGGTAAACATACTCGTCAACAACTTCGAGCTTAGTGCTCCCAACAACTACTGGCATAGGTGTGACATGGACATTAAACATAATCTTTCATTTGTCCATGTTCATCTTAAGACCTATCCGTTGGGAGACACTATTGAGGTCATTGAGCATAGTGCTTAGGTCCTCCAGCGATTCTGCCATAAGGACTATATAAGTATTGTTATTACGAGCTAATGTGGACAGTGAGTGCGTGCTGGTATGCTCCCAAGCATGCTTTTAAAAAGATCGTGCTCATGTGTACTCTAATGTGATATTTACTTGCCTCCTAAGCGTAAAAATTCAAATAAAAACATAACCTCTGTTTAATGTTACAGCCTATATCCCACTGTTGAGCACAGGCTTCCTCTCATTTCTGAGAGGGCTTTAGGGCAAGGAAATGTCCGCCGCGCTGCCCCAATGCGTGTTGGCAAACTTCACATGTCTTCTAAGTATTTTTTTTCTTATTTCTCAGACATGCAAGTTTTCTCACATGTTTTCCTTCACTGTCAATCTCTGATTATTTTAACATAAATACAGAATTAACTTTAGATTACCTTTCAACATCTTGACGGCTACTACAGACTGCACCCCGGGCTTCACTATTCCGACACATTCAGCTTTGACGACCTTTCCAAATTCACCCTCTCCTAGCACTTTGCCCAATGAAAGAGATTCTCTGGGAACTTCCCAGTCTATATCCATGGGCAATTCGTATTCTGACATCATCATTGAATCGCTGGTGTTGCTTTGTACTTGAGATAATTTTTGTTTTTCTATCTTCACTACTGGCATTAACTGAAAAAAATATATATTTAATTTATTATCTATAGTATATTAATAGCCCACATACGTTCTATATCTGGGCACAAACCTCCTTACAGATGAAAAAAGCTTTGCGAATTCATGAAATTGTGGTATATAACAATGTCAGTCATTAGAGACACAGTTGTATATGCGACAATACATTAAGCTCAGTGCAGTTAATAAATATTCTCTTAATTTTTAATTATTTTATTTAATTCTAAAGCTGCCGTGGCGCAGTGGTTTAGCATTGACTTGCGACGCTGCGGGCCGCTGGTTCCAATCCCGCACCGACTAAGTATTTGCATGGCATACAAATAACTGTTTCAAGTCTGGATGTTTGTCCTTCTTCCACGATACAGGATAAAATCCTAGTATTTTTTTAAATCTTTTGATGGTCGAAATCAGCCTTGATGACTTGTTAACATTTATTTTAAATAGTAAACTTAAAGTTGTTTAATTTGTAATCTTTACAATATTTAATATTTATTAGCTTTTAATATTTTAAGAGATTAAAAAAAAACATTTGTGAGTGTCGTGGAACACTCGGTTGGAATGAAGTTCCTTTCATACTATATTAAAAACGTATCATTTAAAATAATCTTTTTTTCACGACATAATAAGAAAAAGTGCGAGGGAGATGTATATTATTCCATCTCGCTCGCACTATAGAAAGGGGGTCGTGACGGAAAAATCTTACACTTTTTCTTGCTTAGCCCGTACGTTCGTTCGTACCGTGCGTTATAGAACTTCGTTCCAAAAGAAGGACAGTGAAAGTGTACTCACCAAACCTTCACCTGTAGTAGCAGGACAGCCATTCATCTGGGGTTTCTCCACAGTCACCTTCTTGGTCCAGTGGGTCACTATGACCGCTCTCGCTGTCTCAATCGCAAGTTGTTTCTTTATCTTCTCTCGTTTCAGCTTTTTGAATATCATCACCACAATGAGTGCTGCCACAAGAAACATAGCTCCAAGTACTGCTGTTAATATGTTAATCAGCAAAGTGTGTTTCCCGTGATTAATAGGCTCCGGTGCAGGAAAAGCTACAAAAGAAAAAATAAATTAAAGAAGGGTTAGTGACGAACATTTTTTTATTCAAATATGATTTTTTTTAAATAAAAAGTTATCCTCACACACGTATTTTCTCTTATATCGAGAAGCCGACAAATTGTCAATTGCTTATTACTTTTATGGTTGACGAGAACCTTTTCATAACTTGGTACTTGAGATGGATAATGCAGCGACTTCAGGACTTTTTTTTTAGATCGGACTAAAAAATAATATTCAATAGCTGATGGTAGCCGGGCTGATGATATCGGGACGTTATACACTGGGAACCGCGCCATGGTTTATCGCGATTAAAAGCGATAAAATCCGTAAAGTCAGTTCCATTTAACTTTTTATTGGGTTTAAGTAGACTTGTCAATGATATGAATTTAATATATGTATGTTTTCAAATTAAGGAAAGACGTAAAGAGTAGCTCAATGGTAAAAGAAATATAAGAGTTTGGCTACTTGAATCTCGCACACAACAATGGCGTAGTCATAATATATTATATTCTTTGACAATGGTTTGTATGGCCTTACAATAATTGTTCCAGATCTCAACAATTGTCTATATACAATTTATGTCTAAAAACTCTTAAATATAAAAAAAATATATTAAACTTACATTCTACAACTGATAGATATCCCTTAGCAGTGGTGTTGCCTAAGGAATTGACAGCGACGCACACATACCAGCCTTCATCTTCTTTGGTCACATTGAATATTGTTAATTGTTCTGGTTTATCTGACGTATCTTCACTCTACAAATTGGTAGTTACGTTTAATGCAATGACAAAGATTTTAAAATACTTCCACTAACATGCAGCTCTTGGGATTAGTATAACACATATGCACATACGTAATTAATTAATTAGCATGCATATTAAAATAAAAAATAAAAACTAAGCCGAAAATCACTTTAACCAAACCAAAAATGCTTGTGTTAGGATTTGATTTAGGACTGTACTCGTCTAATATCCGATTCCATCCCACGATTTTTTAGATTAAGAGTGACAAAAACAAGGAAAGAGAATATTTTTGAAGAGAGATCATGTTGTCTATTAAAAGTTAACATATGTTAACATACAGATATTCTATGTTGTCAGAAAATGTCAAATATTTATTCCATTTTATAATAACTGAGTAAGGATTGTACTTTAACTATATAATTAAAAGTACGGTTCAAAGAAATTCCAAGAGACCATTTAACCTTATACGGTCAATCACGGTAAATCAGTTTAATTTAGCAGTATTGAAGTTTTGAGAGACAGACTGACGCGGAGAAGCGACTTCGTTTTATGCCACTAGTGATTTATTCATTAATTGCTTGAAAATATGATATATATATTTTTCTTGCTTGTTACTTCTTAGGCTATAAAACAAATTTAAGCATTTGTTTTGAAACTTTTGTAAAATCGTAATTATAAGTAACCAAGATAAACCCCCTTACTGTGAACATCAAAATTATCGTCTTACAACCTATCAAAAGTCCACTGCTGAAAATAGACCTCCCCCATAGATTGCCTCATAGGGTGATAATTTTTTTATAGAATATGGGTGACAACCGAGCACATAGTCCACCTGATGGTAAGTGGTTGCTGTGGTCCATACATCCTCGATTACGAATCAAAATGCAGATGCGTTGCGAGGACTAAGATGGAGTGCCTCATTTCCAGTAAAAAGGGTCTCCGGTTCTCTACACTCACCATACGAAACACAGCAGTGTTAAGCTGCTATTTTACGCTGGTATTCTGTGAGAGCGTGGTACTTCCCCGGTCGAGGCGACCCATTCGTTCTGCAACTATACCAATAATATAGCTGCAGCATGGCTCCAGCACGTATATGGGATTAGTGGATATTTTTAAAATGCCACTTCACGATCAATAAGCATAATAGAAAAAGTTGAAGATCCCTTTAGATCTACAAACTTTTTCGTATATATCTAATAAAACACGCATATTATAACAAAAATTAATTATTTCCATGCATTTATATAAAAAGCGTACGTGCATGCAAATAAGCAATCCACACACATGCGTTAGTCACTCGCCCTCACCGGCATAACTTTAGTGGTATCGTAGTGCACAACAGACTCCTGAGCCACACCGTCATTGGTGTCAATGGTGATGTTATAATTGTACTCGTCATTGGTGAAAAACATCCAGTAAACGTACGGATGTAGGTCTGAGAGGAATTTGCAGCTGAATTTCGCTGTCTCCCCGACCAACTTGGTCTGGTTGACTACGCCTTGTGTAAGCACTGGTTTCGCGTATAAACGCTCTATAAAGAAAAACACGTCTATTTTTATCAATTATGCTTTGCTACCGTTGTAAAATTTTTCCTTTTATCACAAACGTTAATTAGTAAAGTGCTGTTAAATTTAGGATTTATCTAATAAACAGTTGGTATCTTGCTCTATTGCTTACTTTGTTGCTTTTTGAAAATCTGTAGCAGATAAATACTATTCAAATAGATTTGTAACAATAATTTTACAGATAAATAATTTAGATATTATTTAATTTAGAATAAATCGGACTGAATGTGAGGGTTTTCAATTTCAAATAGCACTTTGTGAGTATGTACCGTTTTGTAGAATTTACTTACCCAAAAGCTTAAGTAAATTCTACAAAACGGTACATACTCACAAAGTGCTATTTGAAATATATTCTCGTATTTCATTGTATACTATATTATGCTATACGAACAATAGGATAAACAATTGATTCAATATTATAAATAATACGTCCTAAATAAAAAGAAAGTGATAGTAATTATAAAATAGATGATGATTCAAGCGATAAAATTCTTTAAAAATCGTTTAATTCAATGATATTTTATTGCTTTCCCTCCACCACCGCCAATATGACATATTATATTTTGGTTTAATACAGTGAAACTTAAAATTAATCAACATATATAACATAATAACCTTCACCATGCCTCATCTTACAATTAATTATTACCTAGTTTGTGCTACAATTTTTTTTAAAGTGACTTCGAAATTTATGAAGCACGTATTTAAGCATTTGATGCCTTATCAAAAATATGGTTATTTCTAAAATGTTTGCATCCTTTCCAAGTAAAACTATAAAGTTAATTAACCATCACCAAAATGTTTAAATCAAAGACCTCAATAATGTCCCCGGCTGGAATAGGAGCATCGCTCGGCCCGACTTCGGCGTCTGTTAGCGAATAATTCGACGGTCTTATCCAGTAAGAATAAGGTTCTAAATCGGATACAGGTGGACAGGATAGTTTCACTGTGTCGTTCACGAGAACCGTTACGTTTCCCGGATATCCTTCCTTAATGTATGGCTTCGATGGGTACCGTTCTAGAGAAATTTAGCACAGTTTTAATACGAATTTATTAAATTCCGTGATTGGCATAAAAGTAATTCAACATATTTTGCCATACAGGTTCATTATTTAATTATGTCAGGCTTGTATAGATTTGAAATAATCCTTAAATCTTCAATTATTTAACTACATTAGGCTTTTATACACTAAAAATAGTTCGAAATGCTAATAAACAGACTCACGATCAAATATTATTAGTATTTAACGAATTATGACTTTAATTAAATTTATTCTATATACTTTACCTTGGATATGTAGTATAACAGTGTGGTTGATGCAACCCAGTTCATTGCAGACAAGGCATGTATAATTTCCATTATCGGCTTTCGTCAGCTCATCAAGTGTCATCGACCATTTACCGTAAGATGGTTGGAAGTAAGTTCTCGTTATAGGTGTGCCATTATTTTTAAACCACGTGATATTTGGTGTTGGATTTCCTGTAAATATCAAACAGATTTAAATTTTTAAAGCTTTCTTGTAAACCACTTAACGGCAATATTTTTTGAAGTTAAATGCTTGATTTTTTTTAAAATCCTGTCGGAATATTTACTGATAATTTCAATCAACTTCACTGTCATGGGGGGCGTTGTAGTGACTCGTTTTTTCGCAATTTACAAAGATGGCCTAGGTCCTGCAGAGTTGTGGTAGCTGTGATTGACTACATTATAACTTAATAACTCTGAATGAAGGTTGCTCGCGTTGGTATTTATTATAAAAAAATCATCAGATTATATTAATAGTATTTAAATTGATATATGTGAAGTTTAGTTTAGTACAAAATTTAAAATCTTACCATCAGCAGCACATTTTAATCTTATGGAACTACCAGCGGGTTTCATGTCCATATTGAACATTTTTGAAGGATGCTTAAATTTAGGAGCGTATTTTGTTTTAGTGTCATCAACGTGGCCATAATTCGGATGTTCTTTTTCACTTTTGTCATCAATATCTTCGTCTTTAATGTCATATTCCCTGTACTTCATGCTTTTTGTTAATCTTTTTACATCCGTTGCAATTTTGTCTTCTATTGTATTGTTCTCTAATATAGGAGCGGCTTGATGCTGCGATAATATTTCTGGCATCGGCCTCTGTACATCGATATCGGATTGATATTCTGTAGAATAAAATTTTAATATCTCAAATAAATTTGATAAAAGTCTCTGTCTTAAGTATAACTTGTGGAAAATGTGAATTTGAGATGTATAAATAAGTAAAGATTCAAAACAAGAAATTCTCAAAAACAATTTCATACAGGAAGTTAATTTCATAAATTAGTATAAAATTAGGTGCTTTTGAAGCAAGAAGAATATATCAATTGAAAATATTAGACAGGCGAATGCAATAACATGCAGCGTCGCTTTAACGTTGGCATCAGAATACAGTACAGACTTGGCTTGATATGTTTACACATCTGGACGGTCAATAAAGATACCGATTAAAATAATATCAAAATATGAAAATAACACCATCCTTTTGACATCAAGTTCGGAATTCGCTTTAAAATATTTAGGTATAAGTATTCAACAAGACACTGGCAACTAAATGGCAACTAAACGGAATTCGTAGATATTGTATCTATCTTACCTTCTAAATTGTCTTGTTCCACATCGGGCTTGTGCTTTATAGTAACGCGCATTTCCTTTCCTTTATCTTCATCGTTATGACAAGTATATACACCCGCATCCTTCGCTCGGAATCCTTTTATTCTGAGCCTGAAATATATTGGCATTAATTATTGTCAAACTCCTTTTGTATATAATACATACTTATTAAGATAACATTTTCACATTTCCACTGACAAACATTTAACAAAATATTAACAGTGCCGAGTATCACTATAAACATAAATATTCTACATCTAATAGAATACAACATATGTTAACGTACCTATATCTACATATATGAAGAGAGAGAAATGTATACAATCAGTTGTTAAATGGTTGTACATTATTTAGCATGGTTACCGTGTTTGTGAAGCTACTAGCATTACATCTGAGGTTATATTAGACTCAACCATGATATGATTACAAAATTTCACCAAGTGCCTTCATGATTCTAATTGTTATGTAAAGAAAAACAGCAGATACTAAGGCTAAATTCACTGTTGTTCATTTTAATCTACATAAAAAATAGAAAAGTTCATGTGCACAGCTCTAAATGTTTACTGTTTCCAGCCACCTGCCTGAGTTTTGGGTTTTGCGTATTTGAAATATTATTGTAGTGCTCGCGATCGCAAATAATACTAAATGAATCATTTAATTTTGCTCCACAGAATCAGTAATTCATTTATGGGGCAATGTATACGCTTTTATAACAAAATCCCAGGACATATTCAAAGTTTGTCAATAAACAAGTTTAAAAGTTTTATTAAAGAAAAACTGTACAAAAAGGGTTATTATAATATCAAGAAATACATGAACGAAAATAACCCCTGGGAATAAGGTGATCGCCACCATACTGGTTCTATGAAAAATTATTTAAAAATTGTATAAACGAAATTATGTTTGAAAAAAAAAGTCCCGCTGGGTTTCTTGCTGGTTCTTCCCAGGACAGAGGTATTTTCCGAACCAGTGGTAGATAAAAAATGACTTTCAATAAGAATTATGTAATAATCGATATTGAATAAAAAATTATTCTATCCTATTCTATGCTATTCATTGAAAAATTCGAATAAATATCAAAATGTTATAACTAATGTTATCGGGCGCGAATACAAATATTGTGAAGTCTAAACTCCACAGTGCTTACTCTAAAGCTTTGATCTATGTGCAAGCTTTACTTAGTTCTAGTGTTAGCTCGTAGTTAAAGCAATTGGCGTATCATAACAAAACCGCGGTTTTGTAAGCCAACGACCCAGGCTCGCGGCTCACCAGCATTGAAATATAGAACATCGCTTCAACAAGCTCTAAAGTTTAACTGATTGACTCACCAGTGTATCAGGAACTTTGAAACGCGAACGAATAGCTTAGATGATACTATTTAAATTTATATAAATAAATAAATCAGGAATCTGATTATTGAAATAACCTTTATTTAGCAGTTTTTATAAATTATTCACAATTTTGCATCACTATAGTCTGACGCAACTTATGTATGTATTAGTGTCTACAAGATTACTGTAACTTTTGTCTTTATCAGCATTTACAACACTCTGCTATTGTAATAAATTTCTCTTATTATTTTATACTGTTTCTTTTTATGCCCCTAATCTTTAACGGAAATTTTATTATTTAAAGTAATTATTATTTTAAAATGTAAACAAAGCTACGAGTACATGCGCTGTGCACTAGTCTCTAGCAGCTTTTACTATTCACGAAGCTTAGAATAGCTACGTTAGGCCTTAATCTATAAGATCAGCGTATAACTTGATTGAAATGATACATTGTTTTGATTGACAACATGCTTTATTTACGTCAAATAGAAACGTAGCGTTGTTGGCGCATAGCGTGAGTTATTGCTTTTATTACCACCGCCTCGGATTCTGAATGCGTAAGTACTGATGCAAGTTTGACTTGATTTACATTGTTATTTGTGTCTTATAATTTGTTTTTGTAAACTGTACTCGCTTGTAAAGGAATTCATACATAAAGTCTTTTAGTGTTTTATTACACAACTTTCTTTGTTTATTGGTGTTATTTGTTGAATCTTATGTTTTAGAAATTATATTATGATAAAATAATATAGTCGTATCGCCACTATTAAAAACAAGATTCAAATGCATGTACATAATTTATATTTAAGGTATTTATGTATGCTCAACTACCTGTTTACCTAGCATATTAAATATAGGTAAATGTTTCAATGTTGGCCTTTAGTTGTTACAGGTTGAACTGGCAGCAAAAGAAACATTCTCTCTACTTCTATACTTACCACTGCCTTTGTTGGACTATTCGCGGCTTCATTTGACCTTCTAAACGTTTTCCATCAAAGTGCCACCGGACAGCTTGCGTTTGGCTTCTTGGTCTTAACCCACAGACCAGACGCAGTCTTTCGTTGGTTGATGCTTCTATCACTGTGTATGTGTCATCTGTAACAATTGATATAGGAGTTATATTTTAAGGTAAGGTAAGGTACAATATATAAGTGCTGAAAGGCAATTAAAAATCTTAATCCTGTCTAAATAGAAAACAGTATTTTAGAAAGGCAAAATGAAAAAAGAAGAGGTAGAAAAGAATAAATAGATTTCAAAAACCCTTTAAAGGTAAACCATAAAACCGTAACGCTATTTTTAATAAAAGACAAAAAAAAAATTAAATAGGTGGAGCCTACTGCATACAGAGACCTTAAATGTATTTTTTAAAATTGAAATGATTATGTTATTACAACAAAATAAAATAAAATACCACATTGAGATATTACTAATCGTAAGCAATTAAAACAATAAAAACTATCAAAATCAAAGTCACGATTAAGTCTTGTTATATTTATTGTTCAAAAACTTAATATATCATATTTATTTATTTTTTGTAGTTTATGGCATTTAGTTATCCTTGATGTCAATGACACATAAAATATATCGTATTGAGTATGGTAATAAATCTTTTTAACATGACATACTACATGACTTTAAGCTTGTAGGTATAAGAAATAAAAAAGTAACAATGACGAATTGCAGCACAGTATAATTAAAATTTATTGCAATATGAATTACTCGTGTTATGTTTGTAAATATTTATTTAGGCATCTCGTTGTGATACCGGCGTAGAAGTACAGTGTATGTTACATGATGAAATTTTTTCTGAGTAGCGAATGAGTTATTAGGATGCAGGAGTGTACAAGCTTAGCTTTAAAATCTGAGATCCGATTGAGATCGACATTCGTCCTCTTATTAGTAAGTTATTCCTCGAATTTTGCTAGTCCAAGGTTCATTGCTCAGTATTTTTTAATATATACCCATAAAAATACCCATACACTAGGAATTACCTCTGTATCCTCTTTGATATCATATCGACCGGGAATGATCATACTTCCCACAAAGGTATATTATATTGCAGCATAATATGGCTGCTGAATTTTGTACGGTAATTGCCTAACCTTGACTGAGTCGTGTTCTGGCCGCGTAAGAGAATCATCAGACCGTTATCATTTCTGCGTGTCGTGAGAGGCAACAGAGCAACGTGTTCCTGATAAAAAATCAAAATAATAAAAAACTACGGCTACCAACCCACTTGCCAAGAGTGGCAACTATGACAAATGTCCTACCAATGAGGCAAACTATAGGGGAGGCCTATAATATTCAACAGTGGATATTATGAAGGAATGAGTGACTGGAACCGGAGACCCTTTTTATTGTTATCGAGACATCTTGCCTGCAGGTTGGTTCTTAATCCAAAATAGATGTAGGAATCTATGTGCTATAGTATCCATATACCATCAGGTGGATTATGAGCTCGTTTTGTACTTTTATTTTTATTATCAAAAGATTAATATATTTTTATAATATTTAGTTGTTAAATAAAATATATGTAAGGCGTATGGCGTATGGCAAACGAGCACACAGGCCACCTGATGGTAAGTGGATGCTGTGGCTCATAGACATCTACATTTATCCTCGATTAAGAATCAAAATGCAGATGCAATGTTACTCCCGAGAACTTAGATGGAATGCCTCGTTTCCAGTAAAAAGGGTCTCCGGTTCTCTACAGTCACCATACGAAACACAGCAGCATCAGGCTGCTATTTTACGCTGTTATTTTGTGAGAGCGTGCTCCTATCCAGGTCGAGTCGACTCGAATGTGTCGATCGACCGGGTTGCAGCTATATTATGGTTGTAGCATATAGCTGCACCGTGGCTCTACCACATACATGTTGGTTTTAAGATGCTACTTTTAAGATTTAAATAAATAAATGAATGAAATATTTTTATTTATTTTAAATTTCCGTTAACGTTTCCGAAAAAATGTATGTGTATCATGGAGGGATGGTATAACATGCGAGGTTACATTAGAAATACCTGGGCTAGATCTAAAGCACTCCCAGTAACATATTTGCTCAGGGAAACATATCAGGTGGGCGCTGAAAATAGCAAGATGCGTTAGCAACGGTACACCTGAACGCAATAAATTGCTCTCACTGTATTTATTATGTTCACCTTCTGTAACACATTCACGCCCTTTAACACATTTACAAGTGCTACTTAAAGTCTGTGATGTTGACATTTACATCGAAAACTGGACAACAGCGTGGCGTGTTGGTCAGAGCACCTGTTCTGGTCTTGAGTTCGAATCCCGACTTGAACCAACTTTTAGCCAATAACACATTTTTTTAAATGTTTGGTTGAGTCGGTATTATTCTCACAATACAGGTGAAGTCAGTGAGACACAGATTATCCTCGTCTCCCGAACTTTGAAACGAGGATATTCCACGTCTCTCTGACTTTGCCACCAAGGCTTTTTTAACGTGCTGAAATCTTCATGTATACCGTTCGCTGTGGAGGTAAAGGGACGGAAAGGTTTGCCGGACTTCTAATGGATGAAAACTTACGGTTGACACCATCAGTGTAGACGAGATCTCGGGTTCTTTACTACTGGAGCAACTCCATGGCTTTACTAGACGCATATCCGGTCACTACTTGCTACTAGCAGCACCCTCGCAATACTATCAGTATCTCTCGAGATTTTTTTAACTATTAAAAGCCTATCCCAAATTATTATAAGCCCGATGTTGACTACCACTGCCGCACAATACAAGTCGCACTGATTTAACTTAGATTAGTTTCGAGACTATTTCCGATCTAATGCCCAGGCGTCACGCCGACTTCAGATAGGTTAGGACGACTTCTTGTCTCTGTGTTAGTCGTAGAAAAAACTTATTTTGTGTTCTGTGGTTTCATACAAGTTTTTTTTTATTTCTCACACTTGCAGGTTTCCCATAGATACTTTCTTTTTCACTGTGCAATTTGGAAATTAGCACTTATAACTGTAATTAACAAAAATTGTATTAGTACCGATGGTTATGATATATGTAATATTATGGCACAGTTATGGCATATGTTCTCAATTCGACTGTAAATCCATTTTCTTATAACTTTGTTCACCAAATATTTTATATTTATAACTTAATCAGTGATACACGATCGCCCTGTTAATACTTTTTTTTTTCTTCAAAAAATACGTTTCTTCATGTCTCTGATTTTACCTGTATCGTGGAGGCGGCAACAATTATTTGTAGATCTTACAAATTCTTGTTGCGTGCGAGATTCGAACCTGCGACCCGTAGACGCTTAGCTACTATAGTGTACCCAGCTGGAATAATGCTTCGTTAAAATGTTACACTTAGGAGGGATCGAATAAGCCGTTAAAATCAAAATGTACTGTGTACGTGCCACATATGGGATAAACACCACTAAATTTTATGTCCGCAAAAACATCACGTAAAGCCTCGCTTATTTTCGGATATTACGAACGCGAAATATGGACATTAATTAGCATGAAAATGAATCGAGTTTCTTTACTGAAGTAATTCAAATGTTTTTATAAATTAGAGCATCTTATTTCCAGAAATAAAACATTACACTGAATGCAAGATCAGAAAATAAACTTGTTTGCTTATCGAAGAACTCTGTAAGATGACAAAACTTTAGTGAAATTCTAAATTTGTGGTATTAGCAGGAAGAATATACGTTTAACACAATTTGGGATAGAGTCAAGTTGTAAAAACATAACACAATTCTGGAGAATCCCAGCCATGAGAGCGAGCCGAGCCGACGAAAATTATAATAAAAAAAAGCTAAAATTTCAACACTACAAGTTTAAACATAAACAAAAAATTCATGCCTGTCAGGGCTAGGTAGAGACTACAGACTTCCGTTTGGCACGATCTTGACACAGCTCTCTCACCTCCTTCACGTTCCTAAACCTAAGCATATATGCTTGTCGGTTAAGGATAGGTAATCTTAATTTGGCCTATCATCGTGTATTGCCAATGTAGTCGATGAAATTCCGTCTAGCGTGTCCTTTGCCGACTTTACCATTCATTACTGCAACATAAATTTGCTTTGTCACTTTTTCCTTATTTATTCTTATTTTTACGTGGTGCAGGCATCTTGCAGCTATATTATGGTTGTAGCACGAATGAGTCGGGCTCGAACAGGGAAGGACCACGCTCTCACAGAATACCAACGTAAAATAGCAGCTCAATGATGTTGTGTTGCATATTGTGAGTGTAGAGAATCTTTTTACTGGATACGAGGCATTCCATCTTATTCAAGCTCTACGTGGTAGAGCCATGCTGCAGCTATATTATGGTTGTAGCACGAATGGGTCGGCTCGACCGGGGAAGGACCACGCTCTCACAGAAAACCAACGTAAAATAGCAGCTTAACGCTGCTGTGTTTCGTATGGTGAGTGTAGAGAACCGGAGACCCTTTTTACTGACAAAGAGGCATTCCATCTTAGTTCTCACGGGTGACAACGCATCTGCATCTTGAGTCTTTATTGAGGATAGATGTGGATGTATATGGGTCACAGTAACCACTTACTATTAGGTGGACTGTGTGCTCGTTTATCACCCGATCCTATAAAAAGAAAAAAAAATCCTCATAGATGAAAACGCATCTGCATTTTTAATCGAGGATAGATGTAGATATCTATGAGCCACAGCATCCTCTTACCATCAGGTGGGCTGTGTGCTTGCTTGTCACTCTTATTCTATAAGTAAATAAAAAATACTTTCTACATGAACAAATAACCGAAGCATTACTTTCTACGTCACAACATCTTCTTGCAAACTACATTTTTCTCTTATCGCACAACTTCGCACCCTTTTCTAGATAATCATAATTTTCATTATCATTCAAGTACCGTTCACTGCAGGATATGGGCCTTCCACGATTGACTCAAAACGCGGTTTGAGCCACCTGCATTCATCTCCAACTCCCTGCACGTCTTTCCAGGTCATTACTTTGTTTAGTGTCAATGTCGCCGCATAGTGTGATTCAGTACGAGGCTGGCTTTCGAGAACCTTCCCTCTAAATCGGTTGTTTGACCGGCCAATCGCCACTTCCGGCTATAGATCCTTTGGGATATG